GGCCCTGCGCCACAGCCGTCGCTTCAGCCTCGCGCCGGAGGCCGCCTCGGAAGGAGACCCGCCGGCCGCCGTGTCACTTCGGGCCTCCGTTCTCGCCTTGTCGACGTCGCCAAGGGTTCTGGAGAAGCGGCCGAGGCCGGGGAACGGGGCTTCGCGGTTCCAACGGTGGGTAAACGGGCGGGTGCCCGGCACTGCGCATGCTCCGCTGGCGGCCACTGCGGCCCTTCCCCCTCCACACCCCCCCCTCCGTGCACGCCTCGCAGCTCCGGGTCCCACCCGCGGTGGCCGCTGGGCCCTGCGGGTCGGGGTCTGGGAGGTCGAGGCACAGCCCCGGTAGACATTCAGTCGAGGGGCTCCTTTTCCGCTGGGAAGGGGAGGAAAAGGCGGTGGCCCTGGCTGTCGGGGGGTGTGGCAGCCTTGGCTTTGCAGCCGCTGCAGTGCGTGCAAGCGGGCGTGCGCCTCCGCTCCCGGCCTCGCCTGCCCCCCGCTTCTGCGCCACCTCGGCGCCCACTTCCTCCAAGCTGGGCAGAGGAGTTGCTGCGGGGGTGGGGTAGGGAAAGTGGTTTATTCCGGGCTCGACTGCGCCCCATCTTAAGGTCACCTGAGATGAGTGGTTGCTGACTTCCTTAAGTCGCTCAGAGACTATAGCCAAAATTGGGCTGTCGGTGCCCTGGGACCTCATTTAGAACACCCTGAGCCAGAGCCAGGCCCGAGGGATCCCTGCGCAGGGTGCCGAGTTTCAGACGGGGCGCCTGGCTAGATAAGCTTCTAGGAAGTGGAATCCGTTGGCACACTCGCCTAGTGGAAATTGTTAAACTCTCTTTGTTTGTAATCAATTAAACCCAAACTGACTTAGAAGAACTGTTGCATAATTTCATCCGGTTTCCTCTTAGGCCTTCTAGACGGCTTGGAGGAAGCCAAACTGAAAATGGCCACCACAGCTACAGAATATTTGGCTATTTAACATTAGATAGCGGTGGCATGGAGGTTTGTAGGAGATATTAAAGGATAGTTTTGAATATTAACTTTCTGTGTTCGGGTTAGTATGAAGGTGTGCCTCCAACCCCCGTCCCCTTTGTAACCTCAAAGTACTGTTTGACCTGGGTTTTCACAAGTACTGTGGTCTTAGTAAATACTTGTTCTGGTCATTACTTGTTTGCCTTTTAGGTACCTTGATCTTATTACAGATGGTTGTGAGCTACCATGTGGTTGCTGGGAATTGAACTCAGGAGCTCTGGAAGAGCAGCCAGTGCTCTTTACCTCTGAGCCATCTCTCCAGCTCCCTCTTTTCCTTTTAAATTAGGGTATTTTCTCCAGTTTTACCAGTAAGGTGTCGCAACACAGCTGAAGTTCTTGCCCTGTGTAGAAGGGCCTGTCCTAGGGGCATTATTCTCCGTTGGATAAAGTAGCTTCATTGTAGTATCTTTTTTTTTTTTTAATTAAAATGTTTTAGGATAGAAAATGGCTGAATTACGCCAGGCGGTGGTGGCGCATGGCTTTAAGCCCAGCACTTGGGAGGCAGAGGCAGGTGGATCTCTGTGAATTCGAGGCCAGCCTGGTTTACAAGAGCTAGTACCAGGACAGGCTCCAAAGCTACAGAGAGACCCTATCTCCAAAAACCAAAAAAAAAAAAAAAAAAAAACAAAACAAAAAAAAAGAAAAAGAAAGAAAGAAAGAAAAAAGAAAATGGCTGAATTAGAGTGATTTATCAGTATTTCATCATCAGTAAACCGACAATTCTCTTTTAAGACAGGGTCTCAGGTAGCCCCGATTGGCCTCACCTCCTTCTCTATCTAGCTGAGGAAGAATGACCCTGCCTCTCCTGCCCCTTCCCAAGGGCTGGGATCAGAAGCACACACCACCATGCTAGGCTTCAGATTCTTAAGCAAAAAAAAAGTTTGTTGTGCTGTGTTGTATCCTGGCACACACTGCGGGTCAGAGGACGACTTTCAGTTCTCTATCCTGTGGGTAGGTTCTGGGGTGAAACCCAGGCCTTCTGGCTTGCTGGCAAGTGCCTTTTCCCTTAAGTCTTCTCTCCAATCTTCAAATTGTTTTTTGGAAGCATTATAGTAAATTTATACCTAAAAGTTATCAGTTCACAATTGACATACAGTTTTATTTTTGATACGGTCTTTGTGTATCCCTGGCTGGCGTCACTCAAAAAATCTTACTGAGCTTCCTGAATGTTGGGATTGCATTACTGGGCACCACTACATCCAGCTGTAACAGTGTTTTTTTCCTTCTTCATAGAACCACCAGGTTCACCTATAGCATGTGCACATATCCCCTCCCCCAGCTACAAAAAAAATTGTATGTGTACACTATTTATAGGTTCTCCCTGACCTTGAACTTCTAATCCTCCTCCCTTCTGTTGAGATGACCAGCTTGTGTCACCTGTTGACGCGGTGTTGGGGGCTGAGGAGGGCTTTGTGCCCGTGAGGCAAGAGTTACGTCTTTAGCCTCTCCTGTGCTTTTGGTTATCGTTTCCCTAAAAGCTGGTAGTAGGCAACTGCACAATTTTTTTTTTTAACTTAAGTGTAAGTGTAGGCTTACGTGCCATGGTGTGTGTAGTGGAGACCAGATCCCTGGAACTAGAGTTCTAGGTGATTGTAAACGGCCTGCGTGGGTCCTCTTAACTACTGAGCTCTCTCAAGCTTTTATTCCATCTTTTTGTAGTTCTGGGAATTGAACTTGAGGCTTGTGGGGCAGCGAGCACCTTTCCCTGCTGGGCTGTCTCTGAGCCGTCTTGCTGGCCCAAGGATAACTTTTCTAAGCTTACTGTCCTGGATAGGACTCTCTTGCTGGGGTGAGAACACCGTCACTCACAGTTTAGGCAGAGAAGGGTTTATCATAGGGAGTGTTGCTTACTGGCTGCTCATGGCTTACTCAGCTCCCTGTCTTACACAGCCCAGGACCACCTGTTAGGACAGAACCTACCACAACATGGGTCCTTAATCAAGAAGATGCTCGGCAGACCTGCCACGAGCCAGTCTGATAGAGGCATTTTCTCAGTTGAAGTTTCATCTTCCAGATGACCCTAGCCTATGTCTAGGTGACAGAGCCAAACAGCTAGCGCACTTACCATTTGCGTATTTTTAGAGAAGTGTTTATTGCAAACCCATACCTATTTTTTGTTTTATATTTTTGGTTTTTTGAGACAGAGTTTTCTGTGTAGGTTTGGACCCTGTTCTGGAATCCATACCTTTTTTTTGTTGTTGTTGTTGAGTTATAGATGTAGTTAGTCTTTATTTTCTGCATGAGTTAAATCTTATTTGAAAAGCTAATATTTCTGAACATGAATGAATTACTATAATTTCATATAATATTTTGTTTTTTCAGATAAGCAGCAAAGAAACTGATTTTATATCCAAAAAAGATTCTCAGCCTAAATTTAGTTCTCAACTAGGCACATCAACACCAAGAATCTGTTTCTGTCACATCAGTATTAAAAAGGCATATCTGATTACACACCTTTATTTCTAGTACTTTGAAGGTAGAGGCCAGCATCTCTGGGAGTTTCCAGGCCATCCAGCACTACATAGTGAGACACTCAAAAATAAAACAATAAATAAAATCTCCCCATTAAATGAAGACCCTGTTCTAATCAATGAATGTTTTTCAGAGACCATTTCTTTATTAATAAAGTATTCTTGTAGCATGCTAAGAACGTGGGAGGAGTTACTATTGTACAAGGAAGGAAGGATGGAATGTTTAGATGAACCCACGTGAGTGAATTGGGACTTCTCCAAGAGAGAACAGTAGGTTCATTTATGAGTAGCTGATTTGAACTAGAAATGGGAACAGTGAAGGGCGTGGAATAGAGTGTAATGTATGCCACGTTAGTGCAGCAATCACCCTGTGGCTCCATGATCTCAAGGGAGATGGAAGCAGTTTCAGTGAGGTCTCTGTTAGCTAGAAAGGACATCCACAAGCTCTGGACTTGACAAGTCTTCAGCTGAGCATTTTCTTCTTTTCCTCCTTATCTCACAGGATAGTTGGAGGATTCTGATCTGTAGTGAACTGGAAAGTACTGGAAATGACAGCATCAGTTCAAACAATTGGATTCTAGTTGGTCAGTTTAGAAATGTGGAGACAAAAATGAGGTAGTCTTTGTTGTTGATTTGCTCAAAGTTCACAAAACAAATAAGGATAGTCCTGACGGTTCTTTGTTTGTGGAGTTTAGGGTTGGACCCATGATCTTATGCTTATCAGGTTGGTGCTGCTTTTGCATATGTGCCTGTTTCGTGTGTGTACATCTGTACCTACTTATGTGTACATGTGGGTGTGGATACTAGTGTTCCTGTGTGAGTTTTCGATTGACAGCCAGAGACACCTTCCGGTGTTGTTCCTCAGGAGCCGTCTACTTTGTTTTTAGAGACAGTCTTTTTCCAGGAGCTGGGGCTTGCAGATTATACTAGACTAGCTAGCTGGTCTGCCAGTGAGCCCCAGGGACCTGCCTGTCTGCCTCCCAGCACTGTGGTGATATAGGCATGTCACCATGCCTGGCTTTTTCTGTGGGTGCTGGGGATGGAACTTGGGTTTTCAGTCTTGTGGGGAGAGCACTTAACTCTCTTCAAATCCCACCCCTCTTTTTATTTTCAGAGGAACTTTTTTACAAATTGTGTAAAATGAGATGAGAAAAGTTTTCATCTCTGGGAACCCATTTGTCTACAGTAAGTTAGAGAATTCCTCTAATACCCTTTTCTGATTAAAAACAAGTAAATTGTAGTTTTATATTAAAGAACAGTAAAAATGATAAACTATTCTGCTCAGTCATGGTTTCATATGCCTGTAATCCCAGAACATGGGAGGCTGATGCCGAAGGATCTTGAATTTGAGGTCTTGATTACATAACATGACCCCGTCTCTAGAAAGAAAAAAATAGTTTGGAGAAGATGGTTCAGTGATAAAGAACACTTGCTGCTCTTGCAGAGTACATAGATTTGATTCTCAGCATACATAATGGGTGGCTCACAACTGTGTCTAAATTTGACTCCAGGGGATTGATCCAACAGCTTCTTTTGGCTTCTGTGTATGTGTGTGCATAGATGATCTTAAAAATAATAAGGTGCTGGGGAGATGGCTCAGAAGTTAAGAGCCTTGGCTGCTTTTCCAGGGGTCCTGAGTTCAATTTCTAGCAACCACATGGCTCACAATGTTTGTAATGAGATCTGGTGCCCTCTTCTGGTGTGCAGGGGCACGTGCAGACAGAGCACTGTATTCATAATAAATAAATAATAAATCTTTAACAAATATTAAGATAAGGTTATCTTCTTAAAGTCCTGTTCCTCTTAGGCCTTGGTTGTGACCTACCTGAAATTAGATGTTAGTATTCTAGGTCACTTATCTCAGAAGTAAGGTCTGACATTTGGACAGGCAAAATAACTCCTTAAAGTACGTGTCTATGGTATTGAGGTTGACTTCCTTCTGTAGAGCATGCTGCATTTAAATTCACAGAGATCTGTCTACCTCTGTCTCCTTAGTGCTGGGATGAGAAGCATGTGACTGCACACTCAGCTTTATTACAATTTTCATTTCATTCTCTCTGTCTGTCTCTCTGTGTCTCTGTCTATCCCTCTGTGTGTCTGACTTGTCTACCCCACACGTGTGTGAGGAGGGTGTTAGGGGAAACCTTTCAGGAGTTGGGTCTCTTCTTCCACCATAAGGGTCCTAAGGATCAAGCTGAGGTCATTAGGCTTGGCAGCAAGTACCTTTACCCGCTGAGCAATCTCTCTAGCCCAGTGGTTCTCAACCTGAGTGTCATGACTCCTTTGGAGATAGATAATCCTGCACATGAGATATTTACATTATGATTCATAAAGTAGCAAAATTACGGTTATGATGTCACAGTGAAATAATTTCATAGTTCCAACCAATTAGGAAGATTGAGAATCACTGTTCTAGCTCCTTAAGTTCCTTAATGTTTTACATCTGTGTATGTTAGCGTTTAGTGTATTGTTCATTACTCTGCTTTAGAAATGCTGGGTGACATGTGCTTATAACTTCCCCCCGAAATAACAGAACTGTGGGCAGTGGAAAACAGTTGAGAAATTTTGTGTGTTTGAATGATTAGATTTGACTGGGAGGCAGAGGCAGAATAATTTCTGTGAGCTTGGGGTCAGCCAGGTCTACAGAGTGAGACCCTGGGTTTTTTGTTGTGGTTGTTGTTTTTGTTTAAGATTTTTATTAGTACCTAACTAGGAATAGTTGCTAGATCCTGTAACCCCAGCATTCTGTGGTGGAGACAGGTGGATCCAGGGAGCTTATTGTCTGGTCAGTCTACCTGAACTGAAAGCTTCAGGTTCAGTGAGAGATTGTATCAAAAAATAAAATGGGGAGTGATTGAAGACTCCAGACAAACACACATACGGATGAGAATTGAAACAGTTGTTTTTTTTTTCCTTGTAGATTAACTGCTGAAGTACTGATCGAGTTCTGCGTTTCTTCAATGAGGAACTACAGGCTGATCTTCTGCCATAATCTCAAACAACCATAAATGACAGAAGGATGCTTGCTCAGTGAGGGTAGCTGGTGCAGAAGCCGTTTTTTAAACTTAGGTGTTTAAGTACTCAAAGGTAAGCTTTCTCAGTGGTAATTTTCTGTAAGTATGCAAATCAATGATTCTTGTGGTTAGCTGCTGTTCGATTAACTTTGAGATTTTTGTTTAATTAGCTGGCACCAAGTGCATCAAAGAGTAGATGTTGCTTGTATAAGAAAGACTATGTAAATTTATGGTTATCTTCTTGATCCTAAGTTCATTTTTACCATTCCTGAAAATTGGTTGGATTGTTTCTTGTTATGCTATGGTGCCCCTGATCTAGCTAATACAGCTGATTCAGTGTTACTGTTTTAAACTTACAGATCTTGGGATTCACCTTTTATCTGGCGTATCAGTACTTGAAAAAGTGTTTCTTTTTAAAAGATTTATTTATTGTTTATACAGTGTTCTGTCTGCATGTGCATCTGCATGCCAGAAGAGAGCGCCAGACCTTACTCCAGATGGTTGTGCGCCACCATGTGGGTGCTGGGAATTGAACTCAGGACCTCTGGAAGAGCAGCTGAGCCATCTCTCCAGCCCCCTAGTTTTTCTTTCTTCTAAGATAATCTTTTCTCCTTTTGTTTAGTGAATGGATTTTTATTGAGATTAGTTAGTTATTTGGACTACTTGTTATCTAATGCTTCAGATACTAGAGACTCACTTATTTGAGGCATTATCTCCTGGGAGAGAACCATTTCTTCTGAACTAGCTTGGGGGTTTGAAATTGTTTTCCTCACTAAAAGTGGAAGTTTAGAACTAAACATTTTTCCTTTCTGGGGGAAAAAAATGAGTTACAGCTGCTCATATAGAAATAAATGATTATTCTTGTTCTTATCAGGCCTCAGTTTATAAAGTGGTTGGTTGACAGTTAGACATGCTATATATGGTTGTATACTAGCAGTTAGAAGGCTGAGGTAGAAGGATTTTGAATTTAAGGGCAACCTGAGCTATACACTGAGACCATGTCTCATAAAGGCCCATTAGTTTACAAAAAGTGATTCTTTTTCTGATTCAAAAATTGAGGGTTCAGAGATGGATTAGGTTTGACTTCTTCCTACAACTGCATTATTACTCCACTTTCAGAGTGAAAGTCTTCTTGGGGCAAATTTGGCCCTTAATTATCTTGGGATATTAATGTCACTTTCCAGAAACTTTTGGATGACCTTTGACACTGTTAAAGTGTTCAGATATCACAGAGCATTCAGACCAGATTCTATAGTAGAGGAAAGCTTTTGTAATTACACTGAAATTTGTTTGTAGACTGTATCATGGGCCTGATAACCAGAACATGTTTAAATAGTCCACATTCAGGTGTAAAAGCATTTTTCTCTAATGTATTTACTCATAGTGCCGCCTGTTAATTATTATAGTCTTTTTTCCCCCTTTTTCTATTTTCTTTTTTGTCTTTCATTTGGCAGAAAAGACAGCTTTGATTTCTGGCTGCAAAAAAGATATGAGGAAGAGCTCCTCCCCTTCCTTGAGTAACTGCAACTCCGATCTTGCTAACAAAATATTTGGAATTCCACTGGATGAACTGCAGCAGGGAGGCCATCCAGACAATGAGGTTCCATTCATAGTCCGCCACGTTGTGGACTATATTGAGGAACATGGTATACATTTCCTTACTTTGAGGGCTAGCTTTTGTTGTAATAAACACAACTATCCCTTTTTGATTTTGGATTTAGTTTTTTCTTAGTATGAATAATGCCAAAACATGAAGAACAGTATGAACTGTAAGGCTGTAGTATATTTTTCTTAAATTGATTTACCTAGAAATGGCAGTTGCCCAGCTGAGAACATTTTTAGTTGGGGATAATAGAAACTTTTTAAATGGATATAAGGGTGGGATGAAATAGACTATCCCTCAGAGATAGTGTGTTGCTAGATGACCAGTTTGCTTTTTTAGCCAAGTCTGGGGAGCCAAGAAAGCCTTTCCAAAAGCTTAAGAATTTTAAGTTGAGAATGAATATATGTGGCCAGGCAGCTAAGGTGCAGCTTAATTCTTACCTTGAACTAACATAGGCGGTCTGGAGCAACAAGGGCTGTTTCAAGTCAATGGGAACGCTGAGACAGTGGAGTGGCTTCGACAGAGATACGACAGTGGAGAAGAGGTGGATTTGGTTAAGGAAGCGGACGTCCCCTCAGCCATTAGTCTCCTTAGGTTTTTCCTGCAGGAGCTCCCTGAGCCCGTCATTCCTGGCAGCTTGCATAGTCACTTGGTGCAGCTTTCTCAAGGTAACAGTTGGTTCTTATTTCAGTTATTTATTATTAGTTTTAGAGTCCTTTTAGAAATTTGATATGTGGTCAGTTAGTATAGAATTTCAGAGATTAATTTTTTATTTTCTCCATTATTCTTTGAGTCTATGTGGTATAGTAAAGGCAATGACAGCTTCTTAGATCTTTGTAGTTGTTTACAATTTTTAAATAAGTATTTTTGTGTATATGATGTGTGTATGTATTTGTGTATGAGAATGTACATTTACTACTGTGTGTGTGGACATCAGAGGGCGGCCTTGAGTGCTGTTCCTCATCTTCCCACTTCTACATGGGTTCTGGAGACCCAAACGCTCAAGGCATCAGGTATGTGTGGCAAGTGTTTTATAACAGAACCATCTTTAAAAAATTATCATTTATTTTGTTGTGTGTATGAATGTGCATGCTACAGTATGCCTGTGTAAGTTAAAGGACAACTTGTCAGACTTGATGCTCTATCATGTAGGTTCTGGGTATTAAGCTCAGGCTGTCTTGCTGCCCTCCCTTCCCTGATTTTTTTTTTAGAATTGATGTTATTGAGCCAAAGACACAAAAGGGTATTTTCTTCGGAAGGTGTCTAGATCATTGGACACAAATTCTATTTATTGTAGATAAATATGCTACTATGTATCATTCAGGTAATTCAGTTGTTTATTGAATGCTTGCTATATGCCAGAGCACTGCTCTATATTTTGGGAACGCCAGCACTGATCAAAGGTAGTTAAGAATCTTTTCCCTCTTGGAGCTAGAGTGAGAGAAAGAGTGTGTGTGCCTGTGTGTGAGCGCATGAGCTTGCATGAACACTAGTGCCAGAACATGGGTGTTCTCTTCTTCCACCATGTAGATGTTGGCAGTTGAACTCAGGTTGTCAGACTGTGACATGCTGAGCTAGCCTCTGGTCTGAGCTAAAGTTTTAAAAGTGATATTTAGAGGAATAGATGATAAATACAAAGTAAATATGTGGGTGTGATATGTGATGATAAATTGGAGATGTTAGGTATAATTAGTGTTAATTGGATTTTGCTTGTGATTGTTATAAGCGACTTCAAAAAATTATTTATTTTTGAGAGATAGGGTTTCTCTGTGTAGCCCTGACTGTCCAGAAATTCACTCTGTAGACCAGGCTGTCCTGAACTCGAAGAGGTCTGCCAGCTTTTGCCCATGCGCCACCACTGCCTTGCAAGATTTATTATCAAGATTATTTTATTTTTTTAATTATTTATTTTTATATGCATTGGTGTTTTGCTTGCATGTGTGTCTGTGAGGGCGTCAGATCCCCTGAAACCAGAGCTACAGTTTTAAGCCACCACGTGGGTCTTGGGGATTGAACCTGGGTCCTCTGGAAGAGCAGCCAGGATTCTTACCCACTGAGCCATCTCTCCAGCTCCAAGATTTATATTTTTTGAAAATTATGTATATACGTGTGTCTGTGGATACATGCAAGTGCAGGATCCTGCAGAATCCCAAGAGAGTGTCGGATCCTTAGGAGCTAGGGAACTAAGACTCCCTACAAGAGCAGCACACGCTCCGAACTGTTAAGCCATCTCTCACTCTGTCTCTGTCTCTGTCTCTCTCTCTCTGCTCTTCACAGAAGTTACCAAATACTTACTGATTTGTCTTGGCTATGCGCTTTTTTGCTTTTGTTCTTTGTGTGGCAGGGTCTCTAGTTCGGCTGTGCTGAAGCTCACTATATAGTAGACCAGGCTGTCCTCCAATTCACAAAGCTCTTCCTGCTTCTGCCTCTGGAGTGCTGGGATTAAAGTGAGCACCACCACAGCCGACTCTTAATAGATTCTTATAATTGTTTCCACCAGTTATAGGCATGATGTTTTAAAAAAACACTAAAATTATAAAACTATTAAATACAACATAAGAATAATAAAATCATGTGGTGGTTTATGCCTCTAATCCCAGGCATGTTCCATTCAGGTATGACTTCAGAGTACTGGTGTATTTGAATGGACAGTTACTAATATCACAAAGTATAGGAAAGTTGTTGCATTAAAAAATCTTAAGTAAATCATGTGACTTTCCCCCTCCTGTTAGACTTTGTGTAAGTGTGGATACATGTGTGTGGAGGCAGGAGGTTGATGTCAGTTGTTGTCGTCAATCATTCTCTACCTCATTTTTTGAGACAGGGTCTCATTGTGTTTGGAGCTCTAGCCAGCAAGCCCCAGGGTTCCTCTGGTCTCTGTCTCCTTGGTCCCGGGATTACAGGGGTGTGTTACTGCATTTGGCTTCTTAAGGGAATATTGGTGACCTGAACTCAGGTACTTAGTCTTGTGCAGTACGAGTTCTACTAATTTAAGTGGTCTCTCCCGACCCTGATAAACATTTTAGACCTCTGTTATCTTCCAGAAATGGCCAGTATTATCATGACTGTAGATAACCTTTTATCATTTTTTTCTGTAAGTTAATTTTAAAAACCTGCAGAAAAATTAAACAAAAAATGAAAGTAATAAATTACTTCATTTTTAAGTATATCTGAGAAGTTCTCCAAAATTAGACCATCATCCATTAATGGGGTTTCTCAAGGCCCCATTTCTGTTAGTAAAAACTCACTGACTTAACAAACACAAGGCCTAGCTTCTATAATCACATTCACTTGGTAAAAAATGAAACGAGAGCCAGGTGTTGGTGGTTTGTGCCTGTAATCCCAGCACCAAGGCAGCAGGATTGCCTGAGTTTGAGGTCAGCCTGGGCCAATCTGTCTAGGCTACCAAGTGAGGCTGTCTCAAAAACAAAAAAAAAAAACCAAAAAATTTTGAGAAGAAACCCAAGTGAGAAACAGAAACCTTCTTTTCGATTTAGTTGGACCATACTGTGTAGGTTTAATGGTTCTTTTCTGAATCCTGCCACCCTGTTCATTTCTTATTTTCTTCATTGTTCGCATAGGAGATTGTCATTGATACTTGCTTGTTGATGGCAGGTCAGTGTATTGTGACTTCCTAGAGTTGGCATTAACATGGAAGCAGTAGTATAGTCATGTAGGAGACAGTATGATGAGAAAAGTTAGAGGCCTGTGAGACGAGGTGAGAAAAACATCCTACTGTAATTGAAGCTGAATCCTTCTCTGCCTCCCCTTTTCAAACTCTTCTTTCACTTAATAAGTGAAATGCCAAGCCCTAAGGCGTTGGCCTCTCCGGAGGAAGTGAAGAGGTTTTGAATTATAGTTAAAAAAAAAATAACGTGGGTGGAGTAATGTGAACCTGGCAAAATATCTGAGCTTGACTTTTTACTTCATTAAGAAAACCTGTCATTATGTTTTATAGATTATAATAATGAAGATGAATTTGGAAGAAAGTTGAGGTTCCTCTTGCAACAGCTTCCACCTGTTAATTACAGTTTGTTAAAGTTTCTGTGTAGGTTTTTAGCCAATGTAGCATCACATCATGAAGAAATTTGGTCTGCAAATTCTTTGGCTGCTGTTTTTGGTCCAGATGTCTTCCAGTAAGTTATTTCACAACTTTGTTTAATTTAAAAAAAATTGGATTTGTGAAATGGGATCACTATATCGTTTCCCAAGAATCATAGGATGCTTGGTGAACCATTATTATTATTATTATTTTTATAGTCTATCTGATTAATTCTCATAACATTACTGTTTTCAGGGTACAAATTAGGTGGGTTTTACAGATGGGAAAACTGAGGTACGGAATGATGACATAAATTGCTCAGTTTCATAAAGTGACTCACTGGTTCTTTTCTCATTTTACCTGTAATTAATTTAAGAACTCAGCTCAATTTAAGCTTTTATTCTCAGCATTTACACAGATGTGGAAGATATGAAAGAACAAGAAATTGTGAGCAGGATAATGGCGGGACTTCTGGAAAATTATTATGAGTTTTTTGAGAATGAAGAGGAAGATTTTTCATCAAATGATCTGAGTTCAATTACTGAGCAGGTGAGCATACTTAACATTCAATTTCTTAGACAATATTTGTAAGAGTGTGCTGCGCTCTGAGTGACTTGACAGAAACATAATTTACCTGTTAAACTAGAGGTGGTTCTTTTGGCTATCTTTGTAATGAATGGGCTACACATCTAGTGTATGATTGGATTCTATGCCCTTATCCCTACTTCCTGATCTTAGTTTAAGGTACTAAGCTAAAAGCATTTATTATCTATCTGTAGTTCTGAGCATTGGACCTCAGTCTTTGTGCATGCTTGGTGAGCATTCTGTTACTGAGGTAAATGATCAGCTAGGAAAATGGCAGAGTGCATAGTAGAAATTCCTTTGTATTTCACTTTCCAGCCTCATTATTCACTTAGAAATTGTGCGGTGATGGTGCATACCTTTAATCTCAGCATTTAGGAGGCAGTGGCAGGTGGATCTCTGTGAGTTTGAGGCCAGCCTGGTCTACAAGAGCTAGTTCCAGGACAGGCTCCAAAGTTACAGAGAAACCATGTCTCGAAAAACAGAATCAAAACAAAACAACAAAAAAATTGTTTTGTGTGCCCAGATTGTCCTTGATTTAGGTAGCTCCTTTGTCTTGAGTGTTGAAGGATTCCTGATATGCCCTACACCTGGATAGTAGATAATTTTAAATTCTGTGACTAAGAAGTTTTTCAGACACTAATAATAAATTCATTAATTATAGAATTTTAGACTGTTTTAGTTTCGGTTTGTATTGTCTGTGTGAGGGTATAGTATTAATTTAGCCCGGTTTGGCCTGGAACTCAGTAGACAGCCTAAGCTAGTCTTAAATTGTCAGTAGTCCTCTTGCACTGGCCTCCCCAGTGCTGGGATTGCAGGTGTGGGCTACATGCCTGATTTTTAAAATCTTTTGTTATTGTGATGATATTTATTTCTTTGTCTATTTATTTATTTATTTTGAGAGATGATTTCAGGCTGGTCTCCAACTTGTTACATAGGTGAGAATGACCTTAAACTTCTGATCCGCCTGCCTCTACCTTCCAAGTGCTGGTGGAATTATAGGTACTCACTACCATACTTGGTTTTATGACGTATTGTGCACACTCTTCCAACCGAGTGCTTGCATTATACTTGATTTAATTTTCCTTTATGAAATAAGAATGCTGGAACTTGAATAACTAATTTTTTTTGTAAGTCATTATTTAGACACCTCACATTTAGAATTTGTGAGTTAGATATCTCTTTGAAAGTTTTTCTTCTAATTTAAGTAGTTTGTCACCAGACTTTTTTTTTTTTTTTGCCCTGGAACTAACTCTTCAGACCACAGACTGACCTCCAACACAGTCTGTGTGCCTCTGCTGCTTGGGTGCTACTGGGATTACAGGCATGTTCCCCTGTATCTGGGTAGTTTACTGAGGTAGGGTCTCGAATAACACACAGTCTGGTCTTGACCTTGCTGTTAGCATAGATTAGACTTGAATTACTGATATCCTACTACAATCTTGTGAGGACTGGGATTACTGGTACGCGCTACCACATTTAGCTCCAAATGATGATTCTTAGGAATAAATGTCAAGAGGACAGACAGGTCAGTGGCTGTGTCATGCCATGAAGTTTTTTGTTTTTGTTTGAGACAGGGTCTCATGCAACCCAAGCTGACCTGGATCTCCTTATATAGTTTTGCCTTGAGTTTCCAGTATTGGGATTATAGCCATGTACCATTATGTCTGGTTGATACAAACAAACAAACAAAAAAAGGAATTGTTGACAGCTTGACCTAGTATTTATAGACTTCTCAAATTTGCAGTATATGCCTTGACTATACTTTATATTGTTGTATACTTTTGTGGTTTTCTGTCCTATAATTTCCTTATGTGTACTGAACTTTATGTCTACATGTCAGTATTGTCTTACATGTCAGTACTTTTATATTTTTTCAAACATTAGAAAAATTAGCTTTAAAATATATCGCATTTTACATTACATAGGATGATACTTAAATTAAGCAAGACTGAAGAGATATGTTGAATTCTGATGGGTTTGCCCATAGATAGAAAAGGTATTAGTATATTGATCAAAATATCTCCAAGAAGTAGGGTAGTGAGGTGTTTTTCAAGTTACTAATTACTGGGATTTCTTTCCGTCCCTCCCTCCTTCCCTCCTTCTTCCTTTCCTTCCTAAGATTTATTATGTATGCAGTGTTCTGTCTGCATGTACGCCTGCAGGCCAGAAGAGGGTACAGGATCTCATTACATGGTTGTGAGCCACCATGTGGTTGCTGAGAATTGAACTCGACCTCTGGAAGAGCAGCCAGTGCTCTTAACCCCTGAGCCTTCTCTCCAACTCCAGATCTCTTTTCTTTAAAAAAACAAAAAAAAAAACCAAAAAAAAACCTTAATTTTATGTTGTATGTATGGGTGTATGTCATTACACCATGTGCATGCTTAGTGACTTCAGAGGTCAGAAGAGGGTATTAGATTGCCTGAAACTGGAGTTACATATGCTTGTGAACCACCATGTGGCTGCTGGGTCCTGGAAGAGCAGCCAGTGCTCTTAACCCCTGAGCCTTCTCTCCAGTCCCTGGGATCTACTTTCTTATCCATTAAAAAAAAAATAAACTTCTTGAGTAGAGTGAAGTAACAGAAGTACAGATTTGTGAAGCTTGTTTTTCTTTAAGCAATTTGGTAAATTCTGTTTGATTTGTTAGTAGAATTGATGAGGTATTTGCGTGCAAGTAAAATAGTCTCAAACTCAGCAGAATTGTGTTTAAGTTACTTGAATACTTAAGTCTGATTTATATGCTTAAGGATACTAGCAAGTATGGCTGTTGGGCAGTTCTTTGCTTTTTATTTTAATTTTAATAATTGAAAGAAGCCAAGTTTATTGAACACTGTTTTGGAGTTTCATTCCATTAACTCAAAAGTTGTTGAACTCTTCTGAAGGTAGTAGATGTCTTATGCAGGGTATGTGTTGAAACAGTGAGTAGGGAATGCTTGAGAAATAACTTGACAAAAGTCAAGTGGACTTGGATAGGGCTCTTCAGATGAATGAAAGTCCAGTAGGGGGGTTTGAAGTGACAATTGTGTTTCTTTGTACATTTGAGAAGGCAGCTAGCAGCGTTCTCCACAGTCTGGAGTCTGGAGAGCGGGCATTTCACAAGGCCCTAGAAAAGGGAATTGCAGCAGTCAAAGAAAGAAGGGGTGTAAGTATGGGTGAAGGTTTCTGTAAGTGAAGTTGAGACAGCTATATAGTTCAAAACTACAAGTTCAAAATAACTATGAATAAACAAAAATTGTTTGAGCAGCAGAAAAGGAAAAGGACAAAGGAAAGATGAAGAACTTTTGAAGATTGATGTGGAGTGAAAGGACTTTTTACTCTGTCCTTTATGCCCTCTCTGATATAAATAATTGAGTTAGTTATTACTGGAGAAGTTCTCAATGATTGTGCTGGGAATTGGAATTGAGGAGAAGAAAATCCTACAGGCTATATTTTTAGTTGTGATTATAATAGTGTTGATGAAAATATTGGGGATTGTCGGTTATGGAAGGTTTATTGACTTGAATATGATACATTCAGTATAAAGTAGCATAAGGCTTTCATAGTTCCTAAGAGCTATTGTCTATAGAAGTGATTTTTTAAAAAATAATTCTTATTTTTTTAATTTGTGAGTGTGTGTGTGTGTGTGTGTGTGTGTGTGTGTGATGTCTATATGTGTGTGTGTAGGTTAGAGGACAACATTGGGTGTCTTTCTCTGTTGCTCTTTAAGTTACCTAATGAGGCAGGGGTCTCTCACTGAATCAGGTGCTTAGTGATTGGTTCTATTAGCAGGGGATCTTCCTGATTCCCTCTCCTCAGTACTAGATTTACAGATGTACATCACCATGTCTGGCTTTTATGGGATCTGTGAATCCAGATTGAGGTCCTAATGCTTATGTGGCGTGCCATTTGAGCCAACTGAGTTATCCAAATGAGCCATCTCCTAAAATTATTTTAGCATGTTTTTTAGTATGTTTGTTATACATATGTGTTTGTATGTATGTGGACACACTTGTGCAGAGGTGCACACATGTGTATCTTATATATGTGGAGGCTAGAGGTTGACATTGGTGCTGTCCTTGAATACCTTCCTCTTTGAATATTGTGGTAGGGTCTCTCACTTATCCCCAGAACTTACTGATTTGGGCTAGTCTAGCGAGCTAATAGCTTTGGGAGTCTGGTCTCTGCTTCTTGAACACTGGAATTACAGGCAGACGACCATTCTTACCTGGCTTTGCACTTGGGCTCTGGGAATCTGAACTCTAATCCTCATGCTTGTGTTGTAAGCATTCTATCCTCTGAGCCATCTCAGTGATTTATGGGAGTGATACATGTTCAAATAGGAACAAAATAGGTAGACTGAATATTTAGTGTTTAAATAAAATAGTTTTAAATTTATATACTGTATATGTATGTGATGTGGTATCGTGGCACCTGTGGAGGTCAGAGGACAACAGCTTGGGGAAGTTGTTTTTTTTTTTCAGCTACATAGGTTCTAGGGAACAAACCTGAGGTCGTCTACTCAAGCTTGATGGCAAGTGCTTTATCTGCTGACGCTGTCTGTCCAGCTCACTGCCCCCTCAGAAGCTTTTTTTATAGCTGTTTTATTGGTAGATGAGGCATTACGTTTATAAGTACAAATTAAATGGAGTCTGTCATACATATTTACAAATTGAAGTCATTGACTTTTTAAAGAAAAGTTTTTGAGATGCCCTAGGTTGAACCTATAGCCTTGGGTGTGCTAGAGAAGCAGCCTATCACTGAGTTGCAGTATCCAGCCATTGACTGTTTTCATGTGACAAATGGTAGCAGTCAGTGTTGAAGAGCTCCCACTTGGGCTTGTGTAGTCTAGCTTAGGTAGCCATGCTGGTAAGACTTTATGGGTGTAGTCTGACATTTCCAGGAGCACTTTCTGTCCCTCTGGCTTTCACAGTCTCCATGCCCACTTCCTCGATGATCTCTAGCTGGAGGTGCAGCAGTGTTGTAAGTGCATCAGTTAGGGCTAGGACCACATAATCCCTGTTCTGTATGTTTTGGTCAGTTTTCTGTAATGGTCTCTGTCTGGCTAGTTTGAGACTCTGGCCCAAGATCTGCTGCTCAGTATTTTAATGATTAGTATTAACTTATAAAAGCTTTTAGGTTATTTGTAGATAATTTCTTTTTTGATGTAATTTATTTTTGAGGCAGGGTCTTGCTGAGTAGCTCAGGTTGGCCTGGAAGTCACTGTGGAGCCCAGATAGACTTGAACTTTTACAGGTTTGTGCCACCACATCCAACTGCTACTTTTGGACAACCTTAAAATAGGTTTCACTTAACAACGTGTTTTTGGCTGGGCAGTGGTGGTGCACGCCTTTAATCCCAGCACTTGGTGGCAGAGACAGGTGGATCTCTGTGAGTTTGAGGCGAGCCTAGTCTACAGAGCTAGTTCCAGGGCAGCCAAGGCTACACAGAGAAACCTGCTTTGAAAAAAAAAATGTTTTATCGACTTTCCCTTTGTATCTTAGTTGTTCATTTTTGTTAGTGATTACTTAATATAAAGTTGGTTTTATGATGGAGACGTTTTATAAATCCTACTAAAAAATAAAATTACAATTTTGTGCTTAATAATTAAGATGTAAGTCCTTTGTTTCAGGATTTTATTTTGATGGGGGCTGAACTCAGTCCCTTGCAAATGCTAGGCTAGTGTTCTATCACAGAGCTACATCACTAGCTAGGGTCCCGTTTCTTCATGAAAAATGTAATCAGAAGTTAGCCAGAAATTATGAAACATAGCTAACACATAAAGCATCTTACCCCTGTTTCCCCCTTGATAGGGTCTGACTGTGTGTCTCTGCTTGCCTAGAGCTCACTCTGTAGACCAGGCTAGCTTGGAACTTACTGTGTAGACCAGGCTATCCTGGAGCTAGAGAGATCTGCCTGTCTCTGTTTTCTGAATACTAAAGACAAGTGTGCCAGCCCAGCCACAAGCAACATTTTAGAATATCCCCCACCCCCATTTATCCTGAACTGGCCTCTCAATTTGCCAGGATGATCTTGACCTTGACTTTTAATAATTATGCCTCTCTGTCTCTCATTTACTGAATTTACAGATGTATTTCACAAAACTCAGGATATTTGTGCCTTCTTTTTTATACTTAATATTAAAATGAGTTATTTAATATCCTTAGAAAATGGAGAAAGAAACTGGAAGTCTTTCATGTTAGATTTGCAAGATTAATTAGGAAATTACTAGATATATAAAAGTGGTTAGAAAATGAAGCTTAAAAAAAATCATTTTGAGAGACAAGTCTTCTCTGTAGTTCTGGCCAGTGGAGCCTGCAGCGATCCTCCTGACATTGCCTCCCTGGTATTGGAATTGCAGTGTGTACTGCCGGGCCCAGTGAAGACATTCTTACTGTTAAGTGCAAGCTTTTTCATAGGTTATAACATTATTCATATTTATCATGCATCAAAATGCTGTTTGACATAAGCAAAATTAAAAAGTTGCATTGTTCTTGTTTATACACTTGTTTTACTTTTTATTGTTATTTAGTTTTTTAGTGGTAGGGAGTGAAACTGGGATCTTGTGCATGTTAGGTAAATGTTTTCCCATTTTATAATTTTATTTCGTTATAAAAAAGTTGACATGTTAGAGAAGAGATTGGTATTAGGAAATGAAATTTAAAATGAGTTTCTTGCATTTACAGTACTTTTTAGAGTAAGACTTTTTAAAGCTTTATTAAGTTTAATCCTGAAGTTCCTTTTATGTAGGTTAATGGACTTTCTGAGGAAGAAGAGGAGGATGAAAAGCTGGAACATATAGAAGAGCTTCCAGAGGAAGGTGTCGAGAAGGCAGATGGCATGCCAGAGGGGTTGCAGTTGAGGATGCCTGAGAACTCCCTGGAACCAGACAGTGTTATAGCGTCGGCAAGGTAAGGACCCAGCTGAACATCTTCAGCTTCTGAGTGTTTCATTCTCACTGTAGACTCAGGCACCAAGCACCAAGAGCACTGCTTTGTGAGTGAGCTTGGCATAGTGGGGATATAGTTAGTGTTGGAGGATTAGCTAGCAAGCGTGTTCCCCTGCAGGACCAGCAGGCCAGACCGTGCAGGTTGTATATAGTAAGACCCTTTCTCAGGAAAAAAAAAAAAAGACAATACTAAAAAAAGAACAAAAAGGAAACTAGAAGCCAGTGAGGAGCTTTCATTTACCAGTGTTCACTTTCCTTCAGAAGTAAAGCCTCGTATAGAGTTTTCTTAGAGTTTGCTTTTACGTTAGCTACTTAGTTGGGTTTGGTTAAAGTTTTAGAACCTTTGAAATAGAGTTTCTAGAGATGGCAGTACTGTGATTGAATTGACTGACTTAGTTACTTTACTGCAGGATTACGGACTTGAGCCACCACAGCCAACATAGGTCATGATTGTTATTTGATTGTTTCAAAGGCCTGATCCTGACTTTTTAAAAATCTTATTAGGGTTGATGCTGCTGCTGATACTGCTAATACCAGTGATGATAACATAAAGTGTTCAAAGCCTGTGGCTGTTACTACCGCAGATAATGAAGTCATGCAGCAAGATTTTATATTTGAGGATCAGGAAAATAATCAGGTAAGAAATGCTAGAAGCATCGTTCTAATTGTCCCATGTGTTCCTCTGATAGCAAAAGTTAGTTAGTAATTCTGCTGACATACTTGTCTGTGCTGTAAATCCCTAAGAACATAAATTCTCTGTAGAATTTAGGAATCATGTTAGAGAAGAAGTATAGAGCACCTTATTTTTATTATTTTTAATCTTTTGTGTATATTTGTGAGTAAGCTTATGTGTGCCATGGTCAGAAGACTACCTTTGGTGTTAATTTTTGCATTCAATCTTGTTTGAGACAGGATGTGGTGTTTTGCTTGTATACACACCAGACTGTTTGACCCAGGAGCTTTGGAGGATCAACCTGTCCTCCAGCCCATTTTGCTGTAGGCGCTAGGATTGCAGATTTGTACTGCTACATTTAACATGGGTTTGTGTGGCAAGGACATGTACCCAGTTATCCATCCCCCATCCCAAGGGCCTTTTTGTTTTAAGCAGGTCTTAACTGTATAGCCCTGGCTGACAGGGAACTCTCTACATAGACCAGGCTGCCCCTGTTGTAAAACAGCATGAGAGGGAACCTGGCGGGTAAGGGCTGTGGATGGGAGACAAACGCACCATGCAGGCAGAGCTTAAGTCATGAGTTTATTGAGAGAAGGGTAAAGGGGAGGGAAGAGGGAAAGAGAAATACAGAGGGGAAGAGGAGGCAGGACCAGCTTGCAGTGGGCAGAGCTTGTCTCTTAAAGGGACCTTTGCACCTGCACAGTGCCTTAGGAGCCATAGGACCCTGAGCTGGCTAGGGTACCACCTGGGTTCATCCTGCTAGGTGACAGGGCCAGCATAATGCCTGAATCCTAACAGCCCTCCTCTGCCTCCAAAGAAAAGGTATTAAAGGTGAATGCCATCATGTCCAGCATCAAACACATTTTAAAAGTATTTCTTGGAAAGAAAGTTTACGATGTCCACTGAGGTAGTTAGTGGTGTTGTGTTGAGCTTCATTAGTTTCAAAGCCTTCTGTATTTATTAGTACTTCTGAAGAACATAAATTTTCCCCCTCTTTTCCCTTTACAGTTCTTAGTTGAAGTAGACTCCTATAATAAAAGACAGATTTAAATAAAACCTTTTTGTTGTTCTTATGGGTATAGATGTTTTGCATATACCCCATTATGTGCTAGTGGAGGCCCAGAGGCCAAAATAGAAGGCATTGGAACCCCTGGGAGGGAAGTTAAAATTGTGAGCTGCCGTGTGGGATCTGGGGATTGATCCCAAGAACAGCCAATGCTCTTAACTGCTAAACTGTCTTGGTGGAGGCCTTCTCACAACTCCGCTTACTTTCTCCCAGCATTCAGTTTAGCCATCCCGTGCCTGCTCCCCCCCCCCAGCTCTACTCTGCTCTATCACACGCCAAGGCAGCTTCTTTATTCATTATTCAGTAAAAGCAACACATATACAGAAGATCTTCCCACACCACTGTCTCTCTAACCTCTCCCATTTTGATATTTAAAAGATAGGAGTCTCACTGTATAGTCTGGAACTTGCTATGTAGACCAGGCTGGCCTTGAACTATAGTGATAGTTTACCTTTTTTTCCTTAATTGCCGAGATTAGTGAGCCACCATACCTGGCAACAAAAGAGGAGAAAAACAAGCTTAATAAATTCTCCCTCAAATCCAGGTGGGCATGGGAAGAAACAGTAACTCTCTAACAGTGGCTTAGCTAGCACTGGTGTCCAGAAATGACTGTGTAGATGACGACCAGGAAAGGCATTTGAACTATAAATAGGGTTTAGTTCTGTTAGGGCAGAGTGATAAGGATTTCTTCTTCCTGCAGAGGAGATGTGGCACAAATAGAGATACCTTATGTGTGAGGTAATGGAAATTCAGGCCCATGTTGGAATGCCAAAGTGTTGTATGATGTTTATTCTTTTGCTTTTCTGAGGGGCCCGCCACTCAGCTTCCAAGTAAATCACACACTGAGACTTATTCTTAGTTATGAGTGCTTGATCTTAGCTTGGCTTCTAGTCAGTTTGTCTTAATCTTTAAATTATCCTGTTTACCTTTTGCCCCTGGGCTTTTGTTTTTCTCTATTTCTGTATCTTACTTCCCTCCCCATGGCTTGCTGGGTGTCCTCGTCTCTTTCCCTCATTGCTCCTCCTCTTGCAGATTTCTCCTGTTTCTACTCTGCCTGCCCCGCCTATCCTTCCTCTTGCCTTGCTGTTGGGCCACTCAGCTCTTTATTAGACCATCAGGTGTTTTAGACAGGCAGAGAATCACAGCTACACAGAGTTAAACAAATACAGCATAAACTAAAGCAACACACCTTAAAATAATATCCCACAATGTAAGCTGTCCCGTGTGTACTGGGAATTGAGCCCTAGCCCATTGAAAGAGTATCCAGTGCTCTTAACCACTGAGCCACCTCTCCAGCTCCAGGATAAAACATTTTAGACTCCTCCCCCATTCCCCATGTTCAAGGAAGAAGCTTTATAGTTTAGCTACATCTCTGTACATCTGCTTCCCTTTATAATAAAATTGCTAGGAGTTGTTTTATTCCTCACTCTTTCCCTTTTTAAAAATACTTTTGGGACAGAGTTTCTCTGTGTAGCCCTTGCTTACCTGGAACTCACTCTGTAGACCAAACTGGCCTTGAACCCAGAGGTCCTCCTGCTTCTGCCTCCCATTCTTTCTTAAACTCATTCCTGCAATCTAGCACTCTTGAAACAGGAGCATCTCCAGTTGGAGGCTAGTGTAGGTTAGGCCTTGTCACAAAGAAAGAAAGGGATTTTTTTTAAAGTGTGGCTATAGGACATATGGATATTACTTCTGTTAATCTTTGTATTGTCTCTTATTTCAAGGTAAGTAAAAGTATAGATTAAGAGTTGGTGGTGGGATAGTTTGCTTTTATAATACAGGTTTCTAGATTTTCTTGCAATCTTTTTATTTTTGTTTAACTGTGTGCTCTGACTATCCTGGAACTCACTCTGCAGACCAGGCTGGCCTCAAACTCATAGAGGTCTGCCTGCCTCTGCTTCCCGAGTGCTGGGATAAAGACATATACCACTATGCCCAGCAAAGTTTATCTTTTAAATTTTGTCATAAAAACTAAGGCATTTGAAATACTGATTTCTTTTCATGTGCCTAGTGGTGGGAAAGCAGAGACCTAGTTGGATTGAGAGATAGGTGTGAGGCAAGATTGAGGTGGAAGGAATAGGACCTTGTTTTGTGTGGGCACTTGAATGGGATGTACAGTGTTAACAAAAGGAAGGTCTGGATGCATACCTGGTGAGGGGTGGGGGTGGGGGTCAGGAACTTCAGGGAAACGGGGAAAGTTCATCTTCTCCTCTTATCCCTGTTATATGCTATGGAATGGGGCTTCTGAGGCTTGCAACTGTTTCTCTTTTATCTTAGATTTGGCTTTGTTTTCCCACCCTGCTGAGACCTGCCTGTGAATTTACACTTCTTAGCAGGGGCCTGTTAGCTCAAGGTCTTGGCTTGTCCTGATTCTTCAGGCTTTGAACTAATACATAGGCCTATGACCTAGAAACTTTGAGAATGTATATCTACTTTCCCGATAACATTTGATTTTTAGATCATTGGTTCTCATATTGTTTCTTTATCTCTTAAAACTTGTAGAAACATCTTAGGCATTTTTTAAATACGAGTAAGTCACAGACAATCCCACACCAGTTTGGAATTATGATTAATAGAATGGTTATTTATTCAAAGGGGAAAAAACTTACAGATTACCGTCCCAGACAACAGCCCCTCCGCGCGAACAGGAAAGGAGTCCAGGGGCCGGAAACGGAGCCGGAAGACAAAAAGAGAGTGGAGGACAGCCGCTGCTTTTTTTAAAGGGAGAGACCACGCCCCAATGGGCTGGTAACTCAGCGGCGATTGGCTGAAGGAGCTGAAGGAACTCCCACAGCATATATCAATATTTATTATACTAGTAAAAATTGACTAGTTTTAAAATAATTTATTAAGAATAAATTTATTCATAATATTTTCATTTTATTTTTTTCTGTGTATGGGTGTTTATGTGTATGCTGTCCTCCTGCATGTATGTATGTATATGCATGATGTGTATGTAGTGCTCCTGGAGGCCAGAAGAGGGTGACAAATAGCCTGGAACTGGAGTTATAGTTGTGAACTGCCATATGGGTGCTGGAAATTGAACCCCAGCCGTTTTTTCTTTTCTTTTTCTTTTCCTTTTTTTGCAATAGCAGCAAGAGCTAACCACTGAGGCACCTCTCCAGCCCACCCCCCCATGATATTAATAGGGTTGTTTTTCCCTCTCTCACTCCTTCTTTGAAGTAAGGTCTCAGTATGTTGCCCAGTTTATCTTGAATTTATGTCCAGCTTAGGCCTAGTATAGTCCCCTGAATAGTTAGGACTCTGGTTCCATTATGTTTGCATCCATGCATTCATCCGAGTTTGTGTGGTGCACATGTATGCAAATGCACGCGGAGGCCAGAGGTCCACGTCATGTTCCTCGTTATTCTCTGCCTTGTTTTTTGAGACAGTCTTTTGCTGAGCCTAAGGCTTTCCGCTTTGGTAGATTGCTGACTGGTTAGCCCAGTGGATCCTCTTGTCTTAGCCTTTCCATTGCTGGGATTACAGATGTGCACTGCTGGGCCTGGCCTTTCTACGCTGCAGAGAAGCACTCTGTTAGCTAACCTGTTTCTCCAGACCCCACTTTTTTTTTTTTAAATAACTTCTCATTAAATGTTTTAATTTGGGAGGTTGCATTGTTTTATGTTTATAAATATAATTAATGCCTGCCTAGCGGATTTTCATATTTGCTTTTGTATTCAATATGCTACTGTAGAGTAGATTGGATTAGAGAGTGGGAAACAGTTCGGCCTCATGGAGATTTAGTTTTTTCACAGTCAGGCACTTTTCTTGCTAAACAAAATGGATTCTTAAGAATCTAAGAAGGTTGGCAAGTGGATAAAAGTACTTGCCACACAAGTCTGTCGATTTCAGTTCACAGAACCCACAATGGAGGGAGAGACACAGTTCCTGAAAGTTGTCCTCTGATCTTACATATGTGCTGTGGCATGTGTGCTCATGCAAACACATACTAATATGAATTTAAAAATTAAGAATTTAAGAAGAGTCTAAGAATTGAAGTTTTTGTTGATTTTGCAGATTAAGAATATGAAAATGTTTATGCACGTTGTAATATTGAAAGGGGTTATATTTTACTTTGGAGACTTGGTCCTTCGCGTATCTTAGGCTGGTCTGTAGAGCAGGAGGAGCTCAGATTTTGAGTGTTCCTGCCTCTGATTCTTGAGTGTTGAGATTATAGGCATGTGCCCACACACCTAGTTCTCTTGGACTATTTTTAATTTGTAAATTCATTGAAGAGTAGATTCTTCTGTGCTTCTGAGGCTCATGTGCCCCTCCTCCAGTATAGAAAGAAGTTGCTATTTCAAATGTACCTAAGCCAGACCCCATGGTCTGCTAGGCAAGTGCTCTACCACTGAACCAGCACCATAATTTTTGGAGGAGAGAATTCTAAGGAAAGAAGCTACTAGTGATTATTGCTTACAAGGAGACAGAAAACAAGGTCCCTGCAAGTTCTTAATATATTTCAGGTTTTGGGTCGGGTGATGGTGGGGCACACCTTTAATCCCAGCACCTGGGAGGCAGGCAGATCTCTTGTGAGTTTAAGGCCAGCCTGGTCTACAGAGTGAGTTCCAGGACAGGCTCCAAAGCTATAGAGAAACCCTGTCTTGAAAAATAAAAAATAAAAAACAAAAACAAACAAAAAAGAAAAAAAGGGAAAAAAAGTTCAGGTTTGAGGGAGGTTAAGTTCAGTTACAGAAACTGCCAGTTCCTAAGGCTGTTACAGTAGTGGAGAAGGGACGGTTGCTAATTTGTCATCTGATGTCTTCTCTACTGTGAATGTGGGAGCTGATAGACAGTGGTATTCTTCTGTTAGTCTGCAGGTGTACTGTTAGAGCCTTGTAGTGACCACGGAGATAGTGAAGATGGCCGTCCCGAGAGGTAAGCCTTCTTTTATTGTTGCTGATAAATCGTTTTGAGAATTGGAACAGCCTTTTCACAGGTTTTTGGTTGAGAACTTTGGGTGAATATATCCATTATAGCACACAGTTTGGGTAATTTTAGAAAGAAAATTAGGCTTTCTACTTTAGTGGTAGATTAGAGTATATTAAGAGCCACAGGTAGACTCTTCCAGCTGCAGACAAGCATTAATTATGAACATACATTATTCAGAGAGAACACAACCTTCTTAGAGATGACAAAAACTTCGATTTATAAAAAAATTAGAATTTATCGATATTGTAAATGGACATGTCAGTGAGTTAACTGATAGTTTGGGAACTGGCCAGCCAACCAAAAATTTATAAAATTCTTGCTTCAATGAATAAGTGTGGGATAGTTTTTTTGTCCCTGGTACTCACTCTTGCTGTGTCCAAGAATAATCTTGCCCCATTTGGTGCTTGTTCATCCCCGTCCCTATAAGATGTCTAAGATATTGAGACCCATCAAATGTAGTCCCTGCAGATAAGGTCCCTTTGAGGAGGAACAGAGCATTTCAGTCAGTGGACAGAAGGCTTTTCCAGTCACTGGGTCTTGTTGCCCTTTGCATCGTTCTGCCCCAAGCTGCCAAGAAGTATATCCTAACATTCTTAGCAGAGCTGATTTGATACTCTGAAAACGGTCAGGAATGAGGGTTCTGATAGAGCAATACTGATTTGCTGATAGCCTATTGGTCAGGTAAAGTTTTGTAAATGATGTTGTATCTTAATTGTGAGTAGGAACCTGCTGTTGGTGGGTAAGTAAATTCTTTGGAGCCTTGTCTCTGGAGTGTCCTCATACTCTGAAGGTCCACAGATTTCCTGCTTACGGAGCTCCTTGTGCTTCCTTTCAGGAGGCAGGACTGATCCTCCTCCAGCGCAGGGAATTTTGGAGCTGTGGGATCCCCGAGTGATGACAGCGGGATATAGAGAACAATGAGTGTCCATTTAGTGAGCACCCAGTCTTTTTGGGAAGCTCTTTGCTCTTTACCTCATGTCTAGGTTAGCAAACTTGTAGATCTAGAGTACTTTGGTTAGGTGAATTGCATTTTGCGTGGTTAATACTTAACGTTTTTCAGATTTAGATAATTAGGTCTTTCAGAGTGAGTCTTTGAGAGTGAATCTAACGTATCCTACAATTTGCTCCAACCCTAAATAAAAGAAAGCCTTGAAGCGATGATGGTGCACACCTTTAATCCCAGAAACAGAGGCAGGCGGATCTCTGAGTTTGAGCCAGCCTGACCAACAGAGTGAGTTCCAGGTCAGCTAGAGCTACACAGTGAACCCTGTCTTGATCCCCTCCCCCCTCAAAAAAGAAAGCTTGTCAGAGAATTAAGTTTATTTCTCAGGCCACCAAAGATAAGATACTTACATAAGGAATTAGCTTCTTGCGTTTAAATCAAGGCTTGTCTTCCAAGTGCTCACCACTTGTTATGACCACTTAAAAGTAGCACTTAGGTATATTTATAACAAATTGGCACAGATCTCTTTGAGGAACATTTCCCACCGTGGGCATGTTGATAGCTTACCCTATTAATAACAGATGCTTTGTTGACTGACCAAAGTGGGTAGGGATCATTTGTGACAACTTACATTATGGTTCTTAAACAGGGTTTCGTTTTTCTGGAGAAGTAAAAGGTGAATGAAGTTCTCCCCCCCCCCTTTTTTAAATGTTATATGTTAGGTTTTTGTGGTGAGGGTTTAAGAAGCAGTAACCTTCTTGAATTGCAGTAACTTCCTGTGATAGTGATAGCCTTAAAGGACAGATCCAAACCATGGAGAGAATAAACATGTTGGTTAGAACTAATTTATTTTATGAATTCTTTTTCCAATATGCATCAGTTCTCACTGCCTTCTGTATTACGGTTTTTAATTTTCCTTTCCTAGAGATTTTTATTTTGGGGGTGGTTTTATGTGGGGAGGCAGTGGTGGAGAATATCATTTAATTTTTCCAAACCTGAAGTGAGTCTGTGGATCTTTTCAGTATTGTGTGATTTTCAGATACAGGGCTCCAAAGAATGGGCATGTGCCCCGTTGTCACTTTCCTCTTGAATTGTAAATGCTAGCTATATTGGGGAAGAGAAGAGTCTAGGTAAGAGGTAATAGCAGTTACCTTTTTAGTCTTCAGATGCTAATAACTATACTTGTGTTTTTAGGAAGGAATATTTGTTATGTGACAGTGATAAATTGCCACACTTGATTCTGGTAAGAACTATCGTTATATTATAATTCTTAAAAATGTTGCCTAGATTAATGTATCAGTTATGTCTAGCCCCTAATTCTTGCATTGGGATAAGTTAAGAGAGTCATGTGTGTTTTAGTTAAGCAGCAATTAATATGATTACAAGATTGTGGGTTATGAAAGTACTTTTCTAAATTTGAAATCGAAACTTGGTTTCCTAGTAAGACATTATAAAATGCAAATTTATGCTTGGATATAGTTTGCTTGGACCTGGAGAGATGGCTGTTCTGGCTGCTGTGCTCTTCTAGAGGTCCTGAATTCAATTCCAAGAAACCACATGGTTGCTTGCAACCATCTATAATGGAATCTGATGCTGTCTTCTGGTGTGCAGGCGTATAAGCCAGCAAAACATTCATAAACATAAAATATATACAAACCTTAAAACAACGAAACAAAACACTGGCTCCTCTTCCAGAGGACTTGGCTTTGATTCTCAGCACCCACATGGTGACTCATCTGTTACTCCAGTCTCAGGGGAACCTGATGCCATCTTCTGGCCTCTTTTGGCACTAGGCACACACATGGTGTGCATAACATAAGTGCAAGCAAGCACACACACACACACAAACGGAACAGTTAGCTTTGTTGGCACAAAAGAGTAATGAAAAATACTTAGGGATATTTGTGTGCTGATTGTGTCTGAGCCAGTTATGAAAAGCGTCATGATTATGAAATGCATTCTTTATTTTAAAATGCAGGATTCTAGTAGCAAGATCCATGATTTGAATGCCAACACTGAATCAGAAGTAACAGACGATCAGAGTGGTGGTGTTCAAGGAGAAGCAGCATGTATACAGATCGCTCATTTAGATCTGAAGAATGTTTCTGCTGGTGATAAGTGGGAAGGTAATTTTACCTAAACAATTTAATTTCCTCAGACCTTTATTTAAAATTGAAGTAACCCAAAGCAGTGGTGAGATCCTGTCCAGTCTGGACAGTGTTTATCGTCCTGCTCTGTTTTCTCTTGAAAACAAATGAAATTTGTTTTTGCTTTTTGGGATTTTGTTTTGTTTCCTCAAGACAGTTTGTTTCCTAATAGAAGGACAGTTCTTTCATGAGTAGAATGTAACTATATGATTTGCTTTGAGAATGAGTGCTACCGCTGGAATGGTACCTGCCTATAATCCCAGCATCTGGAGGATCAGCCTGGGCTATAGCATGAGACCATCTCAGAGCCACTTCCCAAGGTACCTCCTTCAAAGCAAAATCAAAGTTGATTAAAGATAAAAATCACCCTAGAATAGATTTGGTTAATTATTAAATCAGATACCATTTCTTGATCTGTGAAAGTTCAGTGTATTAGAGTTTTGATGATTCTACCAGTTTAAACAGGGTGTTTAGCTACCTTTTCTTATAATCGTCAGTAATATGTTTTTATTTTTTAATTCTTCAAGGGTACTTTTAAGCAAAGATTATATAGTGATTACAAAAGTATTTGGGGGAGACCATAAATAGTTTGCACAAAGGAATGAAGTTTAAATTTAACAAGCAACATGTGCATAATCTTTTTTGTGTTTTTTGTTTTTGTTTTTGTTTTTTTCAAGACAGGGTTTCTCTGTAGCTTTGGAGCCTGTCCTGGAACTAGCTCTTGTAGACCAGGCTGGCCTTGATCTCACAGAGATCTGCCTACCTTTGTCTCCCAAGTACTGGGAGTAAAGGCGTGCGCCACCACTGTCCGGTGGGCATAATCATATTTTAAATTTAGAAAATGTGCACTGAATTTTTGCTAAAGGTTTTACATTAAGAAAAACCATAAGTTGTAAACAAATATTGGACTTAATTTAAGTGAATTATTTACACACTAAAGTTTTTTCTTGGGAAAAATACCAGACTCTACAGTTTACTTTGAAGTTGGTAAAAAGAAGGTTCATGGCTAATGAAACGCATGAACAATGCACAGCACTGCAGCAGGTGTCAGTGCAGAATCTGTCGGTGGTGTGCGGGATGCCTTTACCCTTGCTGTATTTTTATCCACTTTAAAATGTTGGAGAAGGGGGAAAAATAAGCAACTAGTTTAGAACCATGAATCTTTATGAGTCATAAATCATCCTAGTAAAGAGAAAGTGAGACAACTCAGAAGTCCTAAGCCCAGTTTTTGATCCTGTGATCAGACTCCTGAGATTGTCTTTTGGCAAGTTACTTGATGGCATACAGTGGCAATAACCAGAGGAACTGCAGTGCCAATGCCCTGAGTTCCTCTTGCCGCCTGACCATGGTTTTAGTGTAGGTTTTTGTTATTCTTAGTTTTTAATCCTAAGTCCAGTCATTTAAAAAAAGTTCCTACCAAATCTTTGTGCCAATTTTTAGTGTTATCTTCCCCTGCCCACCAGTTCTAGGTCTCTGATTGTGAGCCTAACTTAAACTATATCAGGAAGTTGGTTGGTTCCTGTTTGACTTATTCAGAACCTTTAAAGAAGCTTCCTTGAGTTTGGAAAAGTTAGCATACTGGTGGTGGTGAAGATCACCATTACTGCAAAGGATCGGTGGCTAAAAGAGCATCTCTAGGAACCATGGTAGGGAAGGAGTCTCTGAACATGAGGGTAGGATACTGATGAAGCCTTTTTGTCTCTTCTAGTGGGAGATGCTAATAAATAACCACTCACGATCTTCGCCTGGAGGCTCTGGCCTGCCTTAAACATGGAAGAATAAGCATTTTCCATTGTTTGGAGAGACTGGTGTCTCTAGCTCCAGCTTTCCGGAGGTTCTCAAAGAGAACCTGATGCTGGGTGTTTGTTTCCCTCTGTCAGAATTCAGATATAACTTGTCAAATGAAAGGAAAAAGCCCTGCTGTTCGTGGCATGGGTTGCTTCATTATCCACCCAACTCATCCGTCATGATAGATCCTTGCAGTTCCCTTTCTCATTTCCAGAAAGGGGTTGGTGACCTTCAGAAACTCAGTGCCAATGGATAGATGAGTGACTTCCTAACCCTGGGAGAGAATGGTTGTCATTAGTCATGTTGTTCTAACTTTGCCACAACTATGAATATTGATTTTCTGCAATTAGGTGTTGGAATATTAAAAAAGAACTTAAAGCAAATCTTTTTTAGCTTTGTGTACTTTGAAATCTATAAACATATTTTGTTTGTTTGCTGTGAGTCTGGTAGAGAAATGGGGATGACTCCACAAATTGAGGCCCTTCTCTCTCTTCCCTAGTAAGTGGGGATTTTGTTTTTTCTCACAGGGTAGTTAGCAGAGCATAGTCAGCAAGCAGGTTGCACATGTCTATCACAGCCAGTGTGGGTTTGTGGTAGTTCAAAAATTTTTAATGGTGGACATCTTTCCCTCAGTAGTAAGTCTCTTAAGGAGCATGATGCATAACAAAGGTAGATTTTTGTTACTTTTCTGTTTTTGGTCCTGGGTATAGAACCTAGAGCCAGGAAAATGCCAAGAAGCACTCCGTCACTTAATGATACCCTCAGCCTTTTATTTATTTATTTCTGGGGTTGGGTGGGGGTGGGGTTCAAGACAGGGTTTCCCTGTACCTTTGGAGCCTGTTCTGGCACTCGCTCTGTAGACCAGGCTGGTCTCACACTCCCAGAGATTCACCTGCCTCCACCTCCCAAGTGCTGGGATTAAAGGCATGCGCAACCACTGCCTGGCATCCTCAGCCTTTTAAGAGAGTTGTTTTCTTTCTCTCCGTCTTACTAAAAGGCTTCAAAGTATACCTGACTAAGATGGCTCGGTTCTTCATCCTGTTTCTATTATTTAATAACAGTCATTTTTGGGTTTGCCTTACTTGATGAAATATAAATGTATATTTGCTAAAGTTTGGTTAGTAATTTCTTTGCACAATGTTTTTGAGCAGAAAGCCTAACTGGTCTTAGGGAAATGTTTTTGGTATCCTTGGCTTTGTGTTATGTGTATGGTTTGTTCTGCCTGTGCTGTGTGTTCACTGTAGTGTTTTTTGCCATTTTTTCCATTTTATTAGCATCATGCCTTATCACTTTCCCCCTCATTGATTTCAAAACAATGCATCTGCAGAGAGATGGGGAGGGTAAGTATGGTTCACTATAGTTTAGTTTTTTTTCCTTTTTGTGGGTCACTTTGTCTGTCTTTTCATTAGCCCTTCTCCTGCTGTCCCCAAATCTTAGGAAAACTTGTATTAAAAGTGCAGGAAAAAATGTTTTTGTTAATTTTTTTTCTTAAAAAGTGGCAATTTCTCAAAATGTTCCTTATTAGTGTTATTTGCTGGGACACAGGTAAAAGGGTTGCTTTGAAATCACTGTATTGCTGAGTTTGTTGTGGGATCACATACTTGTTACTCAACTTTTAGTCACCAAACTGATATAGGTTTCAAAAGCAAGCTAAGTTATTTTCTAAAAACTGTTAAAAGATAATGCTTTAAATGGCTGATCCATAACATTAAATGACATCGCTGAAGTGGTTATCTTGATTATTGTCTAAAGAAAGGGACAACGTAAAGTTTTGATATGTTAATTCATTGTTCCATTAGGTATCATCAAGATTTAAAATTTTAAGTCGAATATATAGCTAAGAAGCCCTTCCTCTCCCACACTCCAGGGATGTTTAAAGTGTTGTATTTGGCATATATTTGTAGATGGTGTGTGTGAGCAGAGGCATAAGCTATATTAACATGGCTTCAGTGGAGAGTATACAGGATGGCTGTGATAAAATAAATGCTGTTTCGTTCTCACTTAGATATTGTTGCGGGGATTAAAGTGTGTGTGTGTATCTTATTTATAGGAACCTCATAACAGAAAGTAACTATCACTGTTTTAATGTCAACTGTTAACATTTTTTCATATTATTTAACATATTGTGAATAGGGTAAGTTGGCTCCTCACTCCAAATATTAGAATTCTTATAGTGTTAACTTCCATTTCTTAGTTCTGTGTAGTGTGGGGAAAACTTTCATATTTTACCATAGCCAGCCATACCATCTGATAATGAGAGAGTTCATACATCCAGTGAGTGAGTGTTGAGTGTTCACTGCTTCTAGGACTTGTATTGAAAAAGTGTTTTTCTGTGTAACAGCTTTAGACTATTGAGTAAGGATTATATTGAATAACATCTTTAGAATTAACTTTAAGAAATTTAATAGTGTGCTTTCTTGATTTGTTACTGGGTTCAGGCATTTAAGGTGAATCTCTGAATGAGAGGATGTCAAGAATGAAGCTTGGATATTTCTAAACTCCAGCAAGCATTGTGAATATGCTATAGTGTCTCTTGCTTTGATGTTTTCCAGTATATAGATATATGTGTGTGTGTATATTAATAAGCAAAACATATAAAATGAACCCATTGGATAATGTTGTAGACTCAAGATACTCATAATTCTGCCCTTGTGTTTGTTTCACAGAGCCGTTTCCTGCATTTAAGTCTTGGCAGGAGGACTCAGAGTCTGGAGAAGCTCAGCTGTCTCCGCAGGCTGCAAGGATGACTCACCATCCCCTGGGAGAGGACTGCCCTCCAGTGTTATCACATCGTAGTTTAGATTTTGGACAAAGTCAGCGTTTCCTCCATGATCCAGAAACACTGGATTTCTCATCCAAGGCCCTTTCCTTCACTAGGTATGTGATGTCACATACTTGAGGCAGTTCTTATTCTATACACAGGTACTGCTAGGCCCGCAGTTTAAAGCTGCTGTCCCCATTCCTGGAGTATGTTTTGTAATTCCCTAGTTGTTGCATTTTGAATTTATTGAGGTTTATGTAGTACTTGGGGTTTACTGTTAGACTGTAGGCACTTCATGGTTCAGTCCTTATTCATTTATTCATTCATAATTGGAATGCATGACTCTGAAGGGGAGAAGCTGACTAGTTCCCATTATTCTAATTGAAACTTAATTTTTATTGGGTTCCTCAACTGTCGTGGAAGTAGGAGGGAGATAGTGGTGTTGGCATCCTCTTGTAGCATCATAGAATGCACCTTATTCCCAGAGGGAGCTAACATGCCACTGAGTGGGCCTGTCAGTCTCTGACCTCCATACTCTTTCTGTGTGTGTGTGTGTGTGTGTGTGTGTGTGTGTGTGTGTGTGTGTGTGTGTG